GTGTTAAAAGCTGGTTATCCACCGTAAACGGTTCAACCTCGAGGAGGCAGTTTCGTACTCGCTCATATCCGTTAAACTTGTGGTTCTTGGCAATGCCGTCGAGATGCTTGAGAAAGGCCTTCACCACACGAGGATCTTGGCCTGCCACCTTAATAGCTTCAATATCATCGGAAGCTACCGTCTTCTTTAGAATCTTGCTGGCGAACGGACCAAATGTAACCGGATCCACACCAAAGATACCAACCAGGGTCGACTGGCTGGGTTCGCCGTGAACGAAGGCAGTAGCAATCAGGTTCGAACTACCCATAAACACATTCTCGATACGTTCGGGCGAGATGTATTCTCCCTGAGATAGCTTGAGAACGTTCTTCTTGCGATCAACGATCTTGATCCGGCCGAGTTCGTCAATTTCGACGATATCGCCCGTGTGGAACCATCCATCGGGCTCTAAGGCCTTCTTAGTCTCCTCCTCATTCTTTAAATAGCCCCGGAAAACAAAGGGACCCCGTAGCAGCAATTCTCCTCGTGGCCTAGGCTTGTCCGTCACGAGGTATTCGAGTTCGGGTTGCGACTCTAAGCATATTTCTATGCCAGGCATCGGGCCCCCCACGTTACCCAGAGAATAATCGCCTTCAAGCTGGAACGACCCCGCGGCATACGACTCGGTAAGACCGTAGCCCTGGCAAAAAAAGTTTCCTAAGGCTGCTCGGAGGAACTCGTGAACATCAGGGTCGAGTTGCGCGCTTCCACTCACCATGGAGCGGCATCGATCTAAGCCAATTGCGGCTCGTACCTTGGGAGTCCATATCCGGTCATAAAGGAGGTGCTTGTTGGAGGCCTTGCCAGGCGGGAGTTTCATATTAGCCTTCTTTGTTTCTATGACTTTCCGTGAAAGAGCACCCTTTACACCATCGGCTTCGACGGTCTGCGCCTTGATTCCTAGACTAAATCGATTGAACAACCGAGGCACTGATATGAAGCCGGTAGGTCTTAGGATCTTCAAGTCATCAACCAGCTCCAGCATATTTCCATGGAAATATCCGATGGCGGAACCGGAAGCTAAGGAGCACTGATCTATCATGCGTCCATATATATGAGCTAAAGGTAAGTATGAAATACCTATATCTTTGTTGGCGTAGGAACCGCTGGAACGAGCACTCGCGCACGCTGCGACGCAGTTGGCATGAGTAAGCATTACACCCTTCGGGTCGCCAGTAGTGCCGGACGTATAGTTGATGGTGAGGAGATCTTCTGGACGAGGGGGGCGAGGAGGGTGAGCTACCTTCGCCCCGAGCTTCTCGACGTCCTCGACCGACCATATCTGGACTCCGTGCTGCGCGGCGATGCTGTTCAGCAGCGCCTTTTTAGAGTAACCGTTCTGCTCTCCGGCGTCCAGGGGATCCATGGAGATGATCAACTTAAGGGAGGGTATTCGGGGCGCAAGGGCGAGGAGTGTTGTTATATGAGGTAGCGAGGAAATCACACAGGCAAGTTCGGAATGCCTGATGATGTACTCAGACGCATCGGGGCCGAGAGTTTCGTATAGCGAGACGGAGAAGAGCGACTGGGAACTCAATCCGAGATCTTTGGTCGAATAATGTTAGCAAATGCTGCCGCAAAAATAGCCTTGATCCTCCTGGAGGTTTCAGGCGTAAAAACTTCTTACCTGCTATTTGCCATTCGGCTCTGTTCTGACTCCAGATACCAACGCCATGATTGCCAGGCGGGATTCCAACTCGGCGGTGAAGCTCATATATACCAGAACCGAAATTCTTGCTTCGCGCCGCGACCTCGGCGTAGGTCTGCCAAACATATCCGTTCTCCCACGACTGAGTTTCCGGGATCCAGGGTCGTGTGCCGAGACATTTGTTATTGGGAAATCGCTTGACGGAATCCTGGAATAATTCGTAAAACGTGCGTATTTCAGGCGTGAAGGTGTCAAGTAAGGGTTTATCTTGAAATCGCCAGTGCCTATAGATGGGAGATCGACCCTCTCGCTCGGTGCCAGGAACAGGTAGAGAATAAGGTGAACCGGGCGGAGGCGGTGTCGCCAGTTGCTTAATATAAGCTTCGACCTTCGGATCGGGTCCTATTCCAGCCATCTTTATTGCGTAATACGACGAATTGACGGTAGAAATAGTTAAATATGAATCAGAACGGGAGTGTCGCAAGTTGAAGTAAGCTCTTAATGACGGAGGATGATATATGAAGGGACTTAAAAGTTAAGGGGAACTTCTGATCTGACTGTCTGGTCGCAATCCTTATCCCGAAGTTGCTTGCTACTCAGCCCGTGACCCACTTAGAGTGGGAATAGATACCGAGGTGGGCAGTAAAGACGGGTTAGCGCGTAGACTACTGCCTCGATAAGCTAAGAACCTCGCTAGATTAGCTCCTCTTGCTAGTACCACAAGGAAAAAGAAAATAATCGTTAAGCTAAATCGTTAAGCTTTCCGAGCCGGAGAGGACGATGTGTTATACATAGAAGGTGCAATTGCTATCCTAAAATCCCCCTGACATATGCAAGACGTTCCTCTCAGCTCTTTAAGGGTCTTTTGCAAAGTGGTTGCTTTCGACATGTGCGAGGCCGGCTAGGCTGGGCCTGGCTAATGCATGAGTCGAGCGAACCTTCCGCCAACTGAGCCGAGGTATGGGGACTCGCGTTCGCAGAAGGCGCGAGATTTAATTGGCTGATGCTCGACCTCGGGGTAGTAATATGGGCAATTTGCCGAATAAGTCAAATCTCATTGGACAAACCAAACCTATGCATGCTTATTCCTTCCTCGAAAGGTACCAGACCAGACGTCATTGCTCAAGTCATGCAGGCCTTGTTCTGCATGTAATTTAGGCATATGTACATAGGTACATATTGGCAGCAACGTCTTAACCTAGCCACTTTCGAACATCCGAATTTCAATCCCTTCTACTTGGCATGGATCTGACTTGGTTGCTTGGTGAGGCTTATGTATTAACCCGCGGCCGGTCTGCGGCCGGTCTGCGGCATTCGGGGCCGAATACATAGCTGCGCCGAAAAAACATCCCGACAGCGTGAGCAGGTCGGTGGGAGACACAACCGAACGCTCCAGAATCGCACTCCAAGACATGTCTAAGAATAGGTGTTTCCCAGGAGTTACTTGGCATTTTCCTACCACGCTATAGGGGTACACCGTTGCTACTTAAGTTATATTTGTCACAAGCAGAAGAGCTTATAATATTACATATATTCAACCATTTCAAGTTCTGAAGGCAAACTTTAAGCAAGTAACATTCTAACTAGTTAGTTACAGGGTATTATCATACTAAGACATCATGCCAATGTCGAGAGACTGCTCTAAGCATGAAGTAAAAGTACGGGAAGATAATTAGGTTAAATAACTAGTTACATGATTTAGGGGTTGAGATATACGTGAATGCTATCCTACGGATCCGTACACCGGAATCCACTTCTCGGGATGAATCTTAGATCTCTATTCCGAGGGAACATGGTCTCCGAAATGGCCCCACCAACTCCGGGGAAGGTCTGCAGAAGTAGCCAGGCTCATGTAGTCTAGAGCAAACTATTTCATGTGCCACAGGCGTATATATGTTAACAATCGAGACTCGATGGGGATATAATATAATATACATACATACAGGCACATATACATACATATACTCCTCAACGAAAAACGTAGTTAGTATGAACACCTTTAATTACCTCTTATGTAGATCCATTTATACATACCACAGTCATTAAAGTCATCTAACATCTACGACACATGACCAAAATAGAACGGAATGCTCTGAAGAGATAGATACCTAATCACACGTTCACGTTCACATTCACATTCACATTCACAAGTCATACACTCGACACACCTACCTAGGTATTGTCAAGCAACATCCCAGACGTCTTTCTTGGCTGCGTACGTGCCGGCAACTCGAGACCGGTCTCGAACTCTCGCACGACATACCTAGGTTAGGTACATAGCCTGGGCAGCCAAGATGTGCTTGAGATTCAGATCAAATATCTGACACAGAAAACCCAGGTTTGTTTTCCAAGGCTCTTGTTTATTTTTGGCTTCTTCCCCGCGATCGATGTTTCAACGTCTCTGTGCGGATAGGTAGTCGTTATTATCTTCTTTCTATTTTATTTTACTTTACTTTACTTTATTTTATTTCATCTTATACTTTTTGTCTAAGCGTATGTGGAAATGATCCTCTAACATAGGTAGACCTTGAAACATTAGACGGGTATTACTCAAGTACCTAGGTTAATGTAGTACGCAGTTGGACAATTGTATTGTACGTTTAGTTTTGCAGGGAAACCGTTGTGACTACCTACCCCTAATGCGTGTAGGCGCCCGGCGGGCGTCTTGTAAGCCCCTACTATTTTACGCCTTGCCGCCAACACGGACAAGGCTCAAGGTTCAAGTCCCCTATTAACCTAGAATTCAAGACATCTTGAATTAATAGTTTAATAGTCACTTATAGCCCGCGATAGCTACAAATAGTCCAGAATATTTACATACCTACATACCCACGTTTAAGTATCTACTCTCACCATCTCAATAATACATCTATCTATGTAAAAGCCGAGCGCCCCATCCCATCTCATCCCATCCCATTCATAAAACCCCCAAACTCCCAAAGGTCCGTGCATCCGGCTCTCGTTCGACAACGACACCAGAAACATGAAAAACTCTTGTCGTGTATTAAGCTTCACCAGCATTGCGAACAACCCTCCTCCCCCCTCCCCCCTGGTCATACCGACTCGGCAGTTGATTGGGCTGGAATGGTCGTTCCGAGCGTACCTATGTGTAGTCATATCCCCATTCGGGACATCCAATCTCTAGCGCATAGGCCGCATCCCTGATCGCTGGCGTTTCATGTGGTCTCGCCAGTCGCCTCCTAGCAAATCGCCCCCCCCAGCACATCACAGCTCAGTCCGCCGTTCCAATGTAACGGCGCGCGCGCGCGCCATCATCGCTGGCCGGGGGTCCTGTAGCATATTCACCCTGATTAAGTGTAGACTCGGGAAATCTTGATAATTAACCAGCGATGCCCCCCCGGGTCGCATGATCGTTAAGTTTTGTTGGCTGCTGCCTCTTTCTCTCCTCTCTTCGATCTTCTTCCTGTTTTACCACAAACAAGCTGTGTATTGTTCCCGTGCCTGGTGCTCTCTTTTTCGTCCTCTAGAATATTGTTCTCTTCTTTTGCCGCCGCCGTCGCTCCTTGCTCTTGCTATTCGTACAAATAACTCACTCTGTCCTCCCGGCGCGAATTTATTATTATTACAATACCGATTTTATGACGACTACTTCGCATCGTGACGCTCGTTTTCCCAACCGTGTACCCAAGCTCTCTACCACCAACATGTCTTCCAATATAATCTTCATGGCAATTCGAGCTGCCCAGCTTGTCTTTGGTATTATTCTACTGGGCCTCACGGCTTACGGTATGTCATCCATGATGGAGGGGATAGTATATTGGAAGTTGACTGTAGAACTAACGTGAATCTGATAGTTGCTAACTGGTACAATGTGGATGCATTGACCTCTTCTCCCTCTCAGATCAACTTGTTGTTATTTGCTTCGCTATACACAATCGTGTCTGTCCTCTACCTGGAGTTGGCGCCGAGATTTGCTCCCAAATGTAAGTATCTGAGCATTAAAACAAGGCGACTACTACGAGTGATTCAGAAGTTAACTTCGCCTTAGTCTCGCACCCCATGGCTGCGTTTGGCCTTACGACCAGCAATGCGCTCTTCCACTTCGCTGGCTTCATCGCCCTCTCGGTCTTCATGAGCAAGCTTCTATTCTGCCGCGGCAGCGTGTGCGGTTCAGCTCAAGCCAGCGTTGCCTTCGGTGCTATGGAGTTCCTCCTCTGGACTGCCTCTGCCATGTTTTCGGGAAAGGAGGTAGTCCAGGGGGGGTTTCTCCCCAAGCTCCCCAAGCGAGCCGCCAAGTCCCAGAGCCCTTTAAGGCCATCCGAGATGAAGGAGGCCCCGGTCGCGTAAGCTCCAGCAGGCTATCCGTTGGTAGTCGCGGCTATACGGACATTCCTCTTTCGCCGTACCGGCCGTCGCTCGACTTCCAGGCGGACCAAAAGGATACCGGGCGCTGGAATCACGTCTATTTGCACGTGGGTAAAGGCTCGGGTGCTCATACCCTGCAGCCATGAGAACTGCAAACCTCGGAGTTGGGAATAGGGGTTTGTAAATGAGAGGATTGGGGAATTCGGAAATTCAGGCTCGGTCTAGATGACTAGCCAATTAGTATATCCATGGTCCACGGGAGGGTTTGATGGGCGTTTTACGGGCTATTCGAAGAAATAATAGTTATTATAACTGAAGGGAACTCATATGGTAGAACCCGTATTACGAAGGCGGAACGATTAAATTCAATATACCACTATTGTTACTTGAGTTGATTGGTTCCTTGAGACTTGAGTATTGCTCGTCAGGGGTTAGGGGTTGAAACAGCGGCAGCGATGTCGGCAAGCCTTGTCCTAATGAAATATAGATGGACTTAATAACTTTAACCGTAGTCAGTGCCGTAGTCAGTGGCAACATGTGCAGGAATCCTACCCCGATATCCTTCCTGAGGTACTTTACTTACCGGTACGGGAATACTAAATCTGTCGCAATATAGCTATAGGATGATGTTTTACATACCCCGCCATAGCTCACCAGCTTTGGTAGCTAGCGGCTTGCGTGGGATGCCCCGCGGTAACCCCCCCTTTTCGATCCTAATTGCTTGTAAGTCAATACCTTGACGGGCAAGCAGGAATAAACAGTAAGTTAATTCCCTAGGTTAGACAGCTAGAGAACATTTCTTAAGTAAAGCTGTTACAAGACGCAAGGAGACAAGACTGACTCACCGACTATCCAATTAAAGTCCCGTCGTACAGGGAGGTCGCCGAACTACACGGACTTGCACGCTCGCTAATAGAACTAGATACGCACAGCTCTACTCTTAATCGCCCCTCCATCCTAACCGGGATAAAATGCCTTACAAGAGCAAGCTTATGGAATATAGTCGATGGCGTGCTTTTTACCCCAACTCCACAATTTCCTAAACAGGGTCTTAAGAGTGACGATTCGGGTAGAGTACCTCTGTCGGGAAGCCGTTTATGATGAGCAAGTATATATCTACATGTAAGTCATGTAAGTTAGCCAAGTGATACACTTCCCGTAGTAAGCCTTGTAGCTTTCGAATTCAAATACTTCTCTGTTCCCTCCTCCCGGGGTCACTGGACTGCAATATCTGGTTCGATACCACTCCAAGCCCATATATCATTCCACTTACACGAGAGACGGCCCCTCCATATCCGTTGAATATTTAACGTATAGTAAAAACCAGTCGCGATGGCGGAGGAATTAAGCAAGAACTTCGAGACTCTCCAACTCCACGCGGGGTATGAACCTTACTCAATACCATAGGAATTTGGAGGAGACGTTAACGGCTAACACTGTTGTAGCCAACAGCCAGACCCGGCAACGAATTCTCGCGCAGTTCCCATATATGCCACAACTGTCTGTTAACCCGAGACGCAAAGCACTAAGCTGCATTGGAAGCTAATTCAGACGACAGAGCTTCGTCTTTAATGATTCGGCACACGGCGCGAGGCTATTTGGCCTCAAGGAATTTGGCAACATATATAGCCGGCTCATGAACGTTAGTAGCAGTAGTCACTCATGTCCAGTAATCTGAACATATATTAATCTGGCCTCTATAGCCCACTGTCGATGTATTCGAGAAGCGTATCGCTGCTCTAGAAGGCGGAGTGGCTGCTGTTGCAGCTTCGTCCGGCCAGGCTGCCCAGTTCATGACCATCGCCGCCCTCGCTCATGCCGGCGACAATATTGTCGCGACTCCCAGTCTCTACGGTGGTACATACAACCAATTAAAGGTTTTTATTGCGCGACTCGGAATCAAGACTAAGTTCATCGAGAGCGACAAGCCCGAGGAATTCGCCGCAGCCATCGACGATAAGACCAAGGCTGTATATATCGAGAGTATTGGTAACCCCCGGTATAACGTCCCGGACTTTGAAGCTATTGCTAAGGTTGCGCACGAGAAAGGTGTCCCCGTAGTGGTAAGTAGCTCGAATCTCCTACAATGTTAAGATATAGTAGATGCTAACATGAATAGGTGGACAACACTTTCGGAGCTGGAGGCTATTTCGTCAGACCCATCGACCACGGCGCAGACATTGTTGTCCACTCGGCGACCAAGTGGATTGGTGGTCACGGAACAACCATTGCTGGTGTTGTCGTCGATAGTGGGAAGTTCGACTGGGGCAAGAACGCTGCCCGATTTCCCCAGTTTGTTGAGCCGTCAGAGGGATACCACGGCCTAAAGTTCTGGGAGACCTTCGGACCTATTTCTTTTGCCATCCGTGTAAGGGTTGAGATCCTACGTGATCTAGGCTCTTCCTTAAACCCCTTTGGCGCTCAACAACTCATCCTAGGTCTCGAGACGCTGAGCTTGAGGGCCGAGAGGCATGCGCAGAACGCGCTCGCGCTCGCAAAGTACCTAGAGTCTAGCCCCTACGTGAGCTGGGTATCTTACCCTGGATTGGAAAACCATCCTAGCCACGAACTGGCTAAGAAGTATTTGAAGAGGGGTTTCGGTGGTGTCCTCAGCTTCGGAGTTAAGGGCGGCGGCGCTGCTGGTAGCCAGATAGTTGACGGCTTCAAGCTGATTTCCAACCTCGCCAATGTTGGAGATTCCAAGACTCTAGCTATCCACCCCTGGACTACGACACACGAGCAGCTATCAGATGAAGAGAAGATCGCCTCCGGGACGACTGAGGATTTGATCCGTATTTCAGTTGGTACAGAGCATATCGACGATATTATTGCCGATTTTGAACAGTCTTTCAAGAAGGCTTCTGCTGCGATAACGAAGGGAGAAGAGGCAGGATCTGAAGCTGAGACTAAGCAGAAGGAAGCACCAACAGTGGTCTAGGTTGAACATATGAACATACCTTTTGAGTACGATATAAATATACCCCTTATCTGAATTATAAAAAAGTCCTTCTTTTTAGTAAGAAGAGAAGTTGAATGTATCATTGGAGATATGATATTGCTGTGATCTGACGTTGACAAGTCACTTGTTCATATAAATGTAAGAGTAAAGAATCAAATGAACAAGAATGAACATTTGAAAAGCAACACTTCAACCTGATTTATTTATTAACATATTTATAAGAGAAGCGAGTAGTAGTTTCCTAACCTAGGTATCTCGGATTTGATAAATGGAGACCCCTTCCCTAAACTAACACCATGTATGTATAAGCCGGGGCTATACCTTCCCATATGTATTCCGTATAGCTAACGCCAAGATCCTTCCCCAACGACGTGCCCCCACATATTATAGATACCTAGGTTGGTACCTACCTAGGTACGTACCCCATACTTCACACATCCATACCTTAGGTACATATCATCATAGCCTTCGAAATTCCACAGCTTCAAGACCAACTACATACCTAAACCAACCTCTAGATCAACTCCCGACCACCAACTCTCTCCCACCAAGCCACCCAAAAACAAACACCACCATAAAACTCGATAAACCAGCCGCAACAAAAAAAAAATGCAAATATCCCTCTCAACCGCCCTCCTCGGCGCCCTCGCCCTCCTCGCCGACCCCTCCGCCGCCTCCTCCAAACCTCAACACCAGCACCAACCTCAAACGACCCTCACCCTCTGGGTCCCGTCCTCGCAGCCCCTCCCCAACCCGCACACCCTCCCGTCCACCACCCACGCAACCCTGTCCGCCCTGCGCGCCGCCTACGACGCCCCCCTCACCGCCGCCGGCTCCTTCGTCTTCCGCAACGTGACCCCCGGCTCGTACCTGGCCGACGTGCACAGCGCGACGCACGCCTTCGCGCCGCTGCGCATCGACGTGCTGGCGCGCGCGCCTGCGGACGACGAGGGGGAGGCCGGAGGGGGGTTGGTGGTGCGCGCTTGGGAGACGTACCGCGGCAACGACTGGGACAACAAGGGCCAGGAGGTGCCGCGGAGCGGCGGCGGGTTCGCGGTGAGGGCGCTGGGGCCGAGGGAGTATTTTGTCGAGAGGGGGTCTTGTGAGTATTAGTATTCCGCTGTGCTGTTTTGCCATCTCCCTCCTGCTTTTCTGCTCTTGTTGCTGTTGCTGGAGGATATCATGCGGAATGGCTAGCCCAACCCACAAGAGCAACCCGACAAGAGAAGGAGAAAAGAAAACAAAAGAGGTATCGTTCACACATGCCCTTAGACCAAGCTAACCACACACCCCCCCGCAGTCTCCATCCTCAGCATCCTCAAGAACCCCATGATCCTCATGGGCCTCGTCAGCATGGTCCTATTCATCGGCATGCCCAAGCTAATCGAGAACAGTAAGCCATCATCATCTCCCCACCCCCCTTGTCTCAACCCCCAATCCCCAACTAACTAACTAACTAACTAACTAACAACTACGCAGTGGACCCCGAAACGCGCGCCGAGTGGGAAGAGCAGCAGAAGAGCAACCCGATGAGCAGCCTAATGGGCGGCGGCGCCCAGCCCGGCGCCAACCCCATGGGCAACTTCGACATGGCCGCGTACCTCGCCGGCCAGGGCGCCAAGAAGGACGATGCCGAGCCGGCGTCGTCTAAAGGTGGGAAGAGGTAGATCGTGTACAAAGACATAGGTGCGAAGAATATGGGTATAATACAAACATGCAGAAATACTTAACCTAGACACTTGGAAAATAGTAGAGGGTAGTGATGATGCCTATTTTAAAGACGACACGGCTCTGCTTTCGAATTCGTTCAGTTGTAGGGATTAAATTGTCATCGCATTGCTATACTTAAGCACCTAGAACGAGCGTTCTTTCTGCGCTAATGCCGCAAGACCTATGATATGTACCAGACCTAAGCATCGAGTCGATCTCGATTTCAAGTTCTCTCCCGATCTCTCCCTTTCTCGATATTGTGGTTACTCTTATTCTTGCTGTCATTCATAATCAACGCCCCCTAATGCCTATAAAATACGAGTCTTGTCTGTCTGTCTGTCTTATCCGAGCCCTATAACCCTCCTATTCTCGTCCCTGACCCGAGCTGACGATTAAAAAAAGCAAACGCGAAGAAGACATGCGATGTATGCTTATTTGTTTCAAAGCATACCGCAACACAACGCAGCGCAGCGCAGCGTCTAGAAATCCCCACCAAAGTCGCCACCACCGTCGTAATCGCCGCCATCATTGCCGTCCTGATAACCCTCCGAATATGCTTCCTGCTGGTTGTCATTGATCGCATCCGCAATCAACACGCCGCCAAGCAACCCCGCACCTACACCCAGCGCCGCGCCTCCCGCCATGCCCATGCCGCCTCCGCTCTTCTTAGGCGGTTGCTGCTGTCCGTAGTATCCGCCCTGTGAGGGGTAGCCGCCTTGAGGAGGGTATCCGCCATACTGGCCTGGAGGCGGACCGTAGCCGCCGTACTGCTGTGGCGGAGGACCGTTGTAGTACCCTTGCTGAGGGGCAGGAGAACCGTATCCGCCGTAGGATTGCTGGGGCTGCCCGCCATATTGCTGCTGGCCTGGGTACCCGGCGTGCGGCTTGTTCTTGCCGCTACCGAAGAACTTGCCGAATAGACCCTTTGCTTTGTCGGCGGGGTTGCTGCCGCCGGATGAGCGCGGAGGCAGCTGATCGGGATATGGCGAGTAGCCCTGAGGCGGCGTGGGCGTGTTAGCATAGGACTGGGCGGCACCTCTAGAGCGCGCGTTCTCTTCCTCCTGTAGCTGGCGGGCCAACCGAGCGTCCGCGTCCTCGTCCACATGCGAGCTAGATCCGTACCCGGGCCTCGTTGACTCGTTCACAAAGGGGTTGTTCTTGGAGTCAGTGGGCGAGGGACCGGAGCCCGGCGTGTAGCCCGGAGGAGGACCGGGGGGCGCGCCGTCATCGTGGCGGTTAGGGTCTACGGCTGGCTCGGTAGGTTTGTCCCATTGGGACTTCTTGGTGTATGTGTTAACATAGAACCTAGAGGGAGCAAAGCGAGTTAGAAGATGGCGGATTGACGAGGCACTAAGTGATGAGGAATCAGATAGGGACTTACCATTCGTGGTATTGATCGTTCCAGCGGGCGACCCAGCCATCGGGGACCTTGGGCGGCGGCGGGCCGGAAGGAGCAGTGAAATCAGCCATGCGTGTAGAAATTGAAGTTGATTTGTTTATATTAATATGGAGGTGTGAAGTGATCGGTTGATCGATCGACTTGCAGGGGAAGCGGGGTCCTTATGGTAGGTAAGGAGGGGTTTTGATGTTGCGAAGGAGAAGAAGAGCAATGAACGTATGGATGTTCTGTAGAGATGCAAGTATTTAATTTAGGTTGCTTCGTGAGAGAAATAAATTAGTTGGTGTTACAGCAGGAAGTCTTTCGTCAGCTAATGGGAATAAATAGTAACAAGCTTGAGTAGCTTGCAGGGTGGCTACTGCGGTTTCCTGTCGAAATGCGATTCTAGATTCTGCTACGGGTAGATGAGAGGCGATATACATTATGTAGTTACATGTAAGTTGAAAGGTACATTGACACGACATACACACCTGTATTGAGCGCGTGTATAACTCTAAGTACTGCCCCCAAATAGCTCCAACTTCGCAGTTTCGGCAACTGTAGAGCCGATAATGGTCTCTACTTTCTCTTTGTACTATGTACCTGTAAGTACCTACCTATTAGCTTCTCTACATATGTATGTAATTCGATTGTGTAACCGATACATCATGTAAGGTAGTGACTTCTTATGCATTTGCCCTCAGACCCCTTTCTCTTACTGGAGACCTCACTTTACAACCAATCACCATCCGAGCGAAGTGTGGCTGAGCTCTTCTCTCTTGGACTTTTCAACCACATGCCTGACATATGTAACAGGTCACTTCGCATAGGTAGGTACATAGGTATTTGAGTAATGTTAACCAGCTTACGAATTCCATGCGAGTTCCAAGCCACGATACCTATGTAGTACATAAAAATAACACGGGGCCAGTCTAAACACCCGACACCTCGGTTAGGTAGGTAGTCACGACTTACATACTCGGCTACCTCTCACGCTCGTGCAGTAGAGCGAAGTGGATTCATTCGATACTCACATGAAACTCGGCCAACAATTCTGACCATTTCTGCTACCGCAAGATGAGGGGGCCAACCGTTATATTCCAAAAAAGAAAAAGAAAAAGAAGAAGAAAAAACTATCTGCTCCAGGCTACGGCCAAGTACCTAATCCAATAATACATTAAATAACTCTTAACCCCGTAGCTCAGTTCGCAGAAGAACCATATCTAGAGTGTATTCCTATATTCCCCGTTGCCTACCCGTTGCTGCCCCTAGATAGATAGACACATCCACCCCCCAATCAAGCCATCATCGGCACATAAAAAATCCTGCACCCCGACCCTCGCAGCCTCGTCGCATCGCGGATCCTCCCCGCCCAGCGACTATCCCGACCGTTGCCCGCGCGCCTCTGCTGCCGCACACCGCCCCGGGGCACCAGCCGCGGCGGCAGGCCGTCGTCGGTGTCGGCGTCGGACTCGGACTCGGACTCGCCGCTGGTGTTGATTTCGACGTACGCCTCGTCGGTGATCCTAGCCTCGGGCTTCTTCGGTCGCAGACATTTGCGCATGCCGTTTACCCAGCCCTTGACGCTGACGCTGCTGCTGGTGCTGGTGCTGCTGCTGGTGCGGGAACGCTTGTCTTTGGGGGCCGGCTTGAACCACTCCGCCGTGGACTGCGGGATGGGGACTTCGTTGACGGCGAGCCATTCGCCCTGTTCGACGGGGCGCTCCTTGACGTAGTTGCCGTAGTAGTCGGAGGAGCCTTGACGAGGTTGGCTGGTTAGATTGATTCTTGACTCTCTGGTATGCGTCGGCAGAGAAGGGTTGTCTTCTTGTGAGTTGGGAGACGGGCAGAGACGGTAAGCAGAGGGCGAGATAGGATGCTTGGTTTTCGAGGGCAAGGAATGGATGGAGATGGTAGTAGGTAAGTATGTGAGTAGCAGAGAAAGCAAGGTAGAAATAATAAAGACATTATCCTTACAGTTATTGACCTCACGCCGAGAAATATTTTCCCAGTCACTATCTTCGTTTTTAACGTCCTCGGAAGTATCGTGCTGATCCTCAGTCGGTTCCTTCGAATCTTCTATCAATCAATCAGCTCCTCATCCCAAATCACAAGACAACGAATAGGTCGTAGAGGACTATGTATGTATTTTAGATATGCACACTTACCTGTCTGGGACATCATACCCTTCCATGAAATATACTCAGGCTGTGCTCTCAGCCAGGTAGGCCTGACGGCACGCTTGGGAAACCCCTCGCGAAGTTGCTCGCTCACATCGTTTTCGACCATCATGATGTCGTCGCATTAGCTAGCAAGTAAGCATGTTATTACTTACTGTAGGTACTATTTGAGAGTCGTGGTTTGGGGGTAAAGAAGGATGAGCAGGTAAAGTGCAATAAAACGCTCACATTTCCTACGACCTAAAAAGAGTCTCAAGAGGCAGAGCTCGGTTCTAATATTCTACCATTCTTATCTATCGTTGGACGAGTTTCCCAGTGCTCTGGCCTTTTGCGAACCAGTTTTGGCTAGTCAAGACGAATGCGAAACCCACCGCTCCTCGACGAACTGGCCCAACGATGTCATAAGCAGCGACACGAAGCGCACCGCCGACATAGCAGCTATGTAGCGAAATACTCGTCGTAATCTTTAATAATTCTAGCATGTCCAATCTCGTGACTCCTATCCGCCATCGTTGGCGGCCTAACGCTAACGCCGAAGCCAAAAGTGCAATGTGTGTAGTTAGAAAATACCATCAAACCATATCCCTTTCGTCATATCTCCTCTCTTCGAATAACCGTGCTGCTTCGATGCAGTAAGTCGCCCGCTCACTACCCAACCGCCTTTCGCTAGCGTAGCATATAAGAACACCGTCGAGGATGCCTGAAAGAATGCCTTCCATTGCCCCCAACACGCCCCAACCGATCATGCTAGCTACCATACCAACCACGTACGCATAGGCGCTCCCCCTGACACCGTGACCCTCTGGTATTTGAACCTGCAACTGCCGTGCAGTCATAACCCACGCCGCAAAACCCAGAGCTGTTGACATGACGAACCGTGCGGCATGGAGAAGCATCTTTGCCATCCTGTAGGGCATTAACGATGCTGATGACTGCCCACGTCGGGAGAATGCGCTCGGTGTAAGAGTTGTAGTGGGTCCCGTGGCAAGGAACTGTATCCTACTAAGCTGTGACGCCGATTCCATTAGGGGTAACGAGTGAATCGACGCATACGTTAATGCTAGAGGGTTGGTTAGGACTGACACCGGGCGAGGAGCCAGTCGCCATCCTATGAACTCGAAGATGCTCGAGATCCGACGAGGTAGGATCAGAATGGGAATTCGGACTGCCAGGGATAGTAGGGTAGAGGCACAGATAGTGCCAAATACCGTAGTCGTAGAGTGTCCTAGAGCACCCTTGACAATCGCATTCGACGAGGCGGACGACTGGTTGTTGCGGAAAAAATACCAATTCGAAACGGTACCTCCGGTAGTTGCGCGAACAACTCCGCTCATGACGGAGAGAGTCCAAACGTACATGAGGAAGAAAAAGACCGCCAACCACCACGTCGCTGTGCCGATGACAAAGGCCGAAAGGGACTTGGAAAAGTATCCCCCAAGGAAGATTCTCGTGAACATCCACAGCCATATCCATGTCCACCCAACGACGAAGCTCAGCGAACCGAGCCCGAGAAGCACAAGCGCCGGATTGGCCGCAAGAATGCGACTAGAGAAGTCCAATATGTCAACTGCCTTCTGTATTTCGTGGCGACCCTTATATAATAACCATACCCAAACGATTGCGCAGCCCCCTGGAATGATGGCCGCATATCTCATTACCACGTCCTGTACCCGCGATCCGTGGTCTGGTCCCTGGAAGCTGGAAATCATCGGATACAACGAAAATGAGAAGAGGACGATCGGGACGCCTAGCAGGATGAGTAGAGCTAAGGGCTGGACAAAAGACCGTAGCGCTGCCATCCAAACCAGGGCAACGATAATCGAGACTAACGTATCTACAGCCAGGAGGTAAAAAGACGAATGCAGTGTCGTGTATATGGTGTCACCAATCTTTCTGCTCGGTACGGAGGTATGCAACCAGACTAATACGAATGTCGCGAAAAGGGAAGCGATGGCTATAAGGTAGATCCATGCGAAAAATTGGTCATGCACAAAGATCTCGCCATACATTCGCGTGGGTGTAGGTGCAGGAATCTCGTTTCGTTCTTCTTCCTCCGTCTCGTCCTCTTCCGCTATAGCCTGTCGCATCAGACGCTGATCATGCTCTAGATTCGAGCCTCTCCGTCCGGCCACGCCCTTCGGACCACTCGACCCAGACTTGAACTGCTGAAATGCAGGTGGTGCCGAGTCTGTAGGAGTCTCTTGTAAGAGATCATCAGGCACCTCATTATCTAACACCGTTGACTCCAGGCCGATATCGACCATCTTTCCACTCTCATCCGTATCGGAGTTTTGCCGCTCATGCTGGAGACTGCCCGACCCGTCCGGGTCTTTGACCACCTCGCGCTTTGAATGTCTGTCCTTGAAACTCGACTCCCCGTTCCAGCTGCTCTTGATACCACCTATGGGGCGAGAGCTCGAGTATAGGTTCCCGTACGACTCGCTCTCATTGTGCTCGGACGAGGCGCGAAGGTCATCGTTCTCCGAAGCCGAACTCTCCTCTAGGCGACTCGAGACAAAAACCCGACGCGATCGCTGCAAGGCACGAAGATCCGCAGCTTCTCTCGCGTCGTCCTCATCCTCGTCTTCTCGGTATTCGTTCAGGGCACTGTGGAAGAGCGGGGCATCCGAGGTAGTATTATATCTCGAGAAGCCTCCGAACCGCGAATTAGAGGGTTGATAAGGATTCCCTAGTCGGGTCTGGTACGAAGACCGCGCGGGATGTCTACTCGAGAATCGACCCGACGTCGTCTGCGGTTGTCGGTTCGAGAATTCGTTGTTGTTGTTGTTGTTGTTGTTGTCCGGCTGACCGAAATTGGATAGCCGGGACTGCGACTGGGCTAGGAACCTAGACGCATCTTGGGCGAAGACGTCAGACTTAGCCTGTAAGTCGATAGGCAGAAATACAACTTACATTCTGAGAACATGTTCGATCAAAGCGCAGGAGGAGGTAGACTCCCGCAGATTACGATGAAGATGGGGATGAGGAACGTCGGGTAGCGTTAGGCGGGATTTGAGGAGGAAGAAAAGCAAATTAATCAGCGGTGACGATGGCACGGTGATGCAAACAATACGAGTTTCTTGAATGCTTATAATAAACTAAGAACCCGGGATGATTCAACCCGCCAATAAAGGGAAAACCAAGGTGCTAAACATGGAATTTGAATTTGAATATTGGACTTGTGGGAAAGATGGATTTGAAGAAGTATACGGTAAAATCAGATTAGTAGAAGCTGTTGGGGGTCGACGGCAGCAGCGTCGTTGAGAAGTGATGCAGATGGACGGATTGATGGATGACTCCCGGATTGCTCACATGCAGGCGTCCAATGCTCATTTAGCATCTGTTAGTAGTTTGAGATGTACCTAAGGTAGGTGCGATTGCATGAGGTAGGCATTGTACAGTACAACTGCCTGCTTATCCGGACTTGGTCCCACTAGAAACATACATGTACATATTACGGAAGCGGTCAAAGTGGAATACATGGTACCTATGGAGGTATGTATGTATGAGGTTATCCAACCGCTGTATTGATTTGACCTATGTATGTAGGTAGTTAAACCAGCTTATCGAAGATAAGATAGACATTCGGGTGCGTAACGAGCATAGTTGCCTAAGTATTATACGACGAATCATTTTATCAATAAAATTAATATAGATCTTGTGCCGATATGTGCGTAGAAAAAAAAAGCAAAAGAAAAGTCACCAACTCTTCCATTGGCCGATATGACCTCTTATGAGATGGTGCAAGTTCTGGTCACGAGCCTTTAATAGAATACCAGGTGTCTAGCCAGGTGAGGTCATCCACCCTAAATCAGGTGCTACATACATATCGGCACTGCCCAGGTGTTCCAGCTCTCCTAAGTAGTGTACCGATAGCAAACCCCCTGTTAATAGGAGCTTTGCACATAAGTAGGTACATATCGTACCTGAGTTAGCATCCACCGCACCCATCGGCGTACGTTATCGATAGGCTGAGGACAAGCTGGGGGAAGCTTGCCCGACCCGCAGGCGAAACATTTAGGCGGGTTTAAAGCTCTAGGCGACATCATCGAAATGGTACAATAGGTAGGTATGCCATTTATGGCCTTGGACATTTACATACTACCTACACACTACATCCCAGGTTAACTAGTACATCACCTTTCTTTGTCCTCAAAACTTACCTACACCCTATGTAAGGTAAACAACTTGTCTCTGATTCCCCCCACGTGCTTATACTATAGACTATAGACTTGTCTTGTTTTGTCTCGTCTTGTCTTGTGCCTTTAATTACCCTTAGCCAAAATCATTAAAACTAATTCCTGATAGCGCCCAGGTTTTCTTCCCCTTGCCGTAGTGAAGAAACACATCCGGCTTACAACGAAGCGCCGTCCTCTCTCTCTTTCCACTTCCATTACGCCGGTTCGGGTCTTGTGACTGATCGTAACGACAAACCCTCATCTCGTCTCGTCTCTTTTCCGATTTGCGACCTTTGTTGTAATGTCTTCCCCGCCCTGGGACTACATCGCCAAGCTCGTCTGCATCGGGGACTCGGGATGCGGTAAATCGTCGCTTACGATCCGGCTCTGCGAGGGACGTTTTAGCCCGCAGCACGACGTCACCATCGGCGTGGAATTCGGCTCTAGGATCGTCCCGGTCGGTCCGCCGCATTCCAAACACTCGTCCACATCCTCCGCCGCCGACGGCGGCCTTCCCGAACCCCCGCGCGCCTCCCCACCGCAAAAGCACATGAAACTCTCCCTTTGGGACACGGCAGGTCAAGAAACGGTGCGTACTACGCAATCCATCCCATCCATCTAGCATCGGAACGAGGAGTTTGAGAGTTTAGAAGTTGTCGAATGACCAGCAACTCCCCACCACCACTTATACCCAGCGCAAGCAAACAAACAGACAAACAAACAAACAAATAACCCACTAACCCTCCTCCCCTCCCCTCTAGTACAAATCCGTAACCCGGTCTTACTTCCGCGGCGCCTCGGGCGCCCTCCTCGTCTTCGACATAACCCGGCGTTCGACATTCGCCCACGTAACCGACTGGCTCAACGACCTGCGCGCCATCGCCGACCCCGACATCGTGGTGATCCTAGTCGGGAACAAGCTCGACCAAGCGCA